ATTATTCGTCCCATTAATTAGCAATTTCTCGCGCTACAAGTATTACTAATACGGTGAATTTCACGACGCATGCTTCATTAACGAGATAATAAGAACGTACAGAAATCACGTTTTTGAAATAATACCGCCAGCGACAATTTCGCCAAAATACAGTGTGAAGCTGGCAGTGCGACAGTCGTCTTAATTAACTCGTCCACAAAAGAACAGTACCGCGATATTACCACAATCTTGCGACTGTCTTCCCTTTACATATAAAAGCACGATATAAAAATGTAACTTTATTACTCAGCCCCGAGAGCTAAAGATACTGGGGGATTAAACGATTTCGTTTAAACAGAGAGAGGATGCTGCAATATTCGCGACGTGAATCTGCTTGTAACTAATGATGAAGAAGCGAACGTTGTTTGGAAAATATTTTTCGTTAAGCTTTTCATTAAATTTATATAAACGGCAAGTGCGATTTAATTTCCATCGAGTGGGGATCGCCTATGCTTTTAGTTAGAATTTGTTACTGGTTGTAATTTTTAGCAAACGTTTTAGTTTCTTATTAATGTAGGATAAAAGTATTAATTTTTGTACCGAATCGATTTATAATATAATGTAGTATAATGTACTGATTAAATCGGAAACATGGAACGCTCTTTATTGTATTTTGTTTTCGTTGCAATTGCCAGAGTGGGTATCTATCGTGCTTTGTGGTCGAGTATTATTGAAATAATTAGGTGACTTCAATTTTCAACGTTTTCCTTGATGTTTCTCTCGACGAAAATACCTTTTATTGTTCCGAGAGATTCAGGTCGATTGAGGGGACTTTGAAATTACAAAATTTACAAATGTATACGTACTTGTCACGTTGTAAATGTAAGAGCTTGTCTGAAAGAGCTGGAAAATTACGCGATACCTTGATACCGACTGTGTCCTTCTTATTGTTAAATGTTCCGCAAATTATTAAGATTCATGACGTCTTTTATTTTCTATCAAATTTTATTAAAATTGATGAACACGTGAAATTTCGATAGACTCTTGGATAGTCATTAATCTCGACTCAAATAGGTCATCTTGCTAAGTAGTTTGCCCATAAACCTAAACTGCAATCAATAACCAATCGATAACGATAATCGCGTCAGTAATAATTAAGATCAGGGTGTAAAGATCACATATCGCTAAAATTTAGCGGACGCTATTGAAAATTTTCACACATCGAGGAAACATTTAATGGAAATTTCAATGACATTTAAACTTCTCTTTCTAGTTTCTTCCTTGTTTCATACATTTTTATTTGTTCAAGTACCTAATGTCAAAGATATTAAGAGAAAACATTATTAATTTATTTACACATGTACATACGTGTTGGTTAGAAATTTTTGTTCAATTTTAATATTTCAATATCTTAATTTTTTGTTATCTCAGTTCGAATATAATGTATGAATTTTATTCAAACGAAATTACTTTCCTATTTTTGCAAACATTTCGTACAAAGTAAAATCTTCGTGTGCCCAGTAATTATAAAATATATCATACAATTGAAACTTGTTAAAAATGTTTAGTACGTTATTTCTTCGCCAAATATTAAAGAAGTATCATATTGATTCTCATTTCATTTTCTTTTCTTTTCTTTTTTCTCAACTGTGCGACTTTCGTTATTTTTTTCTTCTTCTTCTTCTTTTAATCTCGAAAATGTGTAATATCGTTTTACTTCATTTTCGCATGCCCTAATCACGCAGAGCACACACCCAACATCTACTTCGAATGAAAAATTATTTCGAGCTGGACGCACGTGTGCATCAAGTTACAAATGAACTTGTTCATCTCGCGAGATTGGAAGAACTCGTTCTGTATGCGTGAAAGCGTATGCACCGACGTATCGGCGGGAAGCAGGCCTACGAAACACCGGTGGCCACATTGATAAATTGAAATATCGATTCGAAGTCTCAATAGCCCCCGCATTGTACCAGTCAGAATGGAGAACCTGTTGATTTTATGAAGAATATGCGCTCGAAGGAATAGCAAATTCGATGGTGCTTCATTTTTGGTGTTCGGTTTTGTTATTAAAAAAAAAAAAAAAAAAAATAGAAAAAAGAAGGAAAGGGAAGAAAGAGAATCGAGGAGTCGATTGAATTATTATAATAAAATGGTACTTTCCATTCGGGTTCGAAACTTTTTTCTCTGCTAATTATTAAAGTTACTTGAGAATTGGTTGTTGAGAAGTTCTTTCTCCTTCGATTTGAACGTTCGATGGCCAGCACTTGTACTTTTGTACAATGAGTTTAACTCACTCGGATCCAGTGCATTATTCTCATTTCGTATATATCAGTTTTCTAGTTCAAACTAATTTTATTCTGTTTCTAGCGAGATCTAACGCGATCAACAAATGATGATCAATTTTCCACAGTGCAGCGTGGAATTCTAGATTAAAATTTCCACGGACCGTTTCATCCCTACAAAGGATATCACAAAAACACCCGCAGTTAAATTAATTATCACGAATTATCACGGAAACCTATTAAGCAAATTGTTATTCAAGTGTTCGGAACTCTCGTGCAAACTCTGCCGTGTTCAATCAAAACCGACCCTCTCATCCAACTAATTGCGAGACAGCTTCTTTCTAAGTTATAATAATGCCATTTACTCGTCGCAGGTATCATTAAAAGAGCATTACGAGCAAGATAGGGGCCGTTACAATTTCCACAAGTATCTGTCCGACATAAATTACACGAATTATTCGTTTTTCTTTTTCGCTCGCGTCCCGCGTCGCTCTCGGTGTCATAATCAACGCCGCGGACCGCGCTATATAATAAAGTATGACAGACGTAATTAACGGCGTTCCTCATTTCGTGTTGTCGGTTTGAAAAGAGCTGAAAGTAACTCGTTCTTATCCCGAAGCCCGGTTTTGCTGTTTCTTTCCCTTCTCTGCCTCTCCCCCCCACCGTGTTTCTCCCTCTCCCTCTCTTCTCACCCCGTTCTCGCTCTCGTTTCACCCTGTCTCCCTCGATTTCTCGTTCTCCACGGGTTCTTTGCGGCCATAAATAATTCAGGTACTCGGGACGTCGTAAAGACATTAACGAAGGTAAAAGCTTTTAAGGGCGGACCCCGGTTGAATCCTGAACTCGTTATGCGGCTCTTACGATAATAACTCGGAATCTCTGCCGGCCGGTTCATTGTCCAACGATACACGATATTTACTTTCGACTTGGCGCCACTTTCTCGTGATTGATCACCCCTTTGATTACGATTCGTGTCAAAAATATATTTGATCTGATTCGTATCACGATGAAGTGAAAATAATGGTATGATTCTTAGGTAGCCGTATTTTAGAGATTTTAGATTTAGGAATGAGATTTTATATAGGGAATTTTATATAGCGGAGTAGCGAAACTCGAGTATTTTGTATTATATCGCGGAGGGGAAATTATACGAGACTTTTGAGAATTTGTTGTAATCTTCATGAGATTTTAAATAGAGAATTTTTTTAAAGTGCTTTCGAGTGGAGAATTTCAGAGAAGTGATTATGATTCATATCATGACGGAGTGGAAATTAGGAGTAGCATGAGATTTTGAGAATTTATCACGATCTTAAATGCGTAGAGAATTTTAAAATACTTTAGAGTGGAGAATTTTAGAGAAGTGAATGTGACAAGTGATGAATATGATTCATATCGTGATGGAGTGAAAATTATTCATACCTTTTGTGAGATTTTAAACAGAAAATTTTAGAGTAACAGAAACCTAGTGTTTTAGATTGTATCGTCGAATGAAAATTATAGTAGCGTGAGATTTCGGGAATTTTTTATAACTTTTGTAAGATGAGGTTTTAAATACGTAGAGAATTTTAGATGCTTCGTACGTGGAAATTTCGATTCGAGAAGTTTCTAATATTCTAGGTCAGTAGATATTTACGTAGATTCTCGAATCGGTACATTGTTGTGCTTTTTCGTCTTCTATAACGACGTGAGAAGGGCAGTTTGTCAAGAGCAGCTATAGTAAACGGTCGACACAACCTTTGACTTCAAATTATTGGTAAGGCTGTAAATTTTCCACCTTAATAATTAACAAAATTATATATAATAAGTTCATTCTTTCTTTATTCTGATCGAAATATGACGCGAGATATTAACGACGAGATTTTAGAAATTTTATTCGTACAATTGAATCAGTGCACTCTTATTATACAAATTAGTTGTCTCACGACAATTTAACATAAACAAAATTCTTCCGCAATGCGGATTACTATTTTATAAAAATCAGCAGTGAACTAGGCAGATTTCGCTACTTAAATTTTCTAATAAGTAATTTACTAAAATAAAGAAATACTGAATGCTGTGTGCACTGGTCCATCATGCATTCATCTGCACATTAATTTGAACATGCATTTTTATTTTTTCCCCAGTTCCGTTGACTATTTTGTTTTGGTAGACTAAATTTCGATACACTCGAAATATTAAAATGTTCGGAGTATGAAATATTTCCTGGAGCGTTCTTCAGTAATTACGTGAAATAATGGCAAAATTTTCCATGACCGAATTTGTGATATTGTTAAGCATTGCAGAATTGAAATATTTTTAAACGTTACTATTTCATTAAGCGCGCAAATATTCACGAGCTAGAGAACAGAGAATTCCGCTTCTCATAACGCAAAAATATTTTCGTGTAATAAAATTTTATATAGAACGTGTAATTAATGCATAACATATTGTGTACACGCGAGATGTTAAATGTAAATGTGGTGCAACTTCGGTATGCGCTTATTTTCGTGTAATAAATTTTTAAATGCACAGTACGCGTTCGCGCGTAATTATACTTTGAGTTCTTGAAATAACGTAATGCATGGCGAGTAAGTAAGAATTTCGAAAGGAACATCTGAAGCGTTAAAATGTGATACTGAGACTAGATGAGGATGAGCAACAAATAATGGTCTTTTCGTATACTAATGTCAAACTTAGCTTTTATATTTGAATATACAAGGAATATGAAGAAAAGGAGTTTTAAAATTTATTTTCCAGACTCAGACCAGCCCAGATTCGCTGAAGAAATCCAGAACGTGACCGTGAGCAAAGGTCGAGATGCTTTGTTAGCCTGTATAGTGGACAATCTACGAACCTATAAGGTAAGAAATAAAATTATAGTTTTTTCCTTTCTCTTATCCAAAAATGTAATACATGAAATTTAGTTCAAATTATAAAATATTTCAATCACTTGCCATCGAATGTGACGGGACTAGTTATTTTGTTATCTAAAACAGGATAAAATTTATTTAAACGTGTTAACAGAACTATTAATTTTATCACGGGATAAAATTCTTTAAAATTAAATAACGCAATCAAAATTTTTGTTCTAATCTCTCGTTCAGTAATATCAGTTGATGGTTTGCGTTTTGGATCTGAGAATAAGCTGAATATATGATGGAGTTATCTAAATAGTTAATTTTAAATACAATCTAGTTCCATTACGATCTAACGAACGTTAATCTGTTTCGTATATTTTAAGCGCCAAGTTTCAAAAATATGGCACACTATGTTTAATAAAAAATTGCGCTGAGAGAACGTGATTTTTAAAAATACATTTCGTTACGACCATTTCGTAACTGGGATAAAGTGTAACTAGGATGGCAGTAATTCTCATTTAACGTGAACATCCTTGTGGAAAGAAAACTAGATAGAAATGTGTGACTTTTGTGTATTACATAAAATGTCACGAAATATCATGAAATTAACGCTTGACTGGAATTGAATGAAATAAAATCAAAACGAAAGAAAACTTCTCCGTATATTGCACAAATACCGTGATATTTCAATCAATGATGAGAAAGACATTAAAAAAAGAATGTAAAAAGGATATTTTCTTCGCTTTTCGAGGGTTATCATTTCGAAACTGATTAATGTCTTTAGTTTCTAATCCTCAATAATACTTGCACGTTTGAACTATACATTATATTGTCCATGATAAGAGATAATTATTAATGGTAACATAATAGTCTGAAACGCTGAGTTATGCAGTTACTACGATCTAGATACTTCTGACTGTAAATTAAATTAATTTATGCGAATGGATTTGTAGATTGGGGATTTAGTACAATTGTGGTGTAAAGAGATAATCATTTGTTATGTCTCGATGAAAAATACAAGAATAAATTCACGAAATAAACAGAAATAGTAACGTAATCGTAATCATAAATTTGATTAGATAACAGAATTTTATGAAACGAGTTATAAATATGCATATACTTTCAAATGTACGACAAGTGAAATATTACATGATATTTTACACATATGAGACAGATGAAACCGGAAAGAAACAAACGATGTTGCTTCCATAACTACTTTCTGTAAAAGTGTCCGCAATAATATTATTTATCGTGGAGACATTATCTCGTAGCACGTTAGTCGACTCAATCTAGAAACGTCTCACGTTGTCTCCCATCTAATCCTTTATTCCACATCCCCTCCACGTACGTACGAAAGACGCATACAAGTTGTCGAATAAACACGCATTAAATTCTGCAAGATCCGGATGAAAGTATAACGTGTGTTTCCTCATGCCCCTAGAGAAATTCGGAATATGGCATTAAAATTCTAACGCTAAAATTTATAAGTCTCTCAGTCCTTTTTCTACGAATATCTGAATAGTAAATCGCGTGCCTGTGTGGCGTGCTTCTTTTTTTAATAAATAATTATTAATTACATATTTATAAAACGCTTCGTTCAAATCTCGTATGAATTTGTTCTTTTTTTTCTTTTCTTCTTTTTTTTTTTTCTTTTTTTGTCTAGCAATTGAAATCGGATTAAAGTGGCAAGAGCGACAAATTCGAACGAAATATTCCAACTTTAGCTTGGTAGATCATCTACGATTTCGAGCATCTTGGCTTATATAGCCCTTGAGAGATTAGTAAGATGATCATGCTAGTCAACTACGGAATTAGGCGTAAGAGGAAGTGGCTCTCGTGCCCACTAACTGCTTATGCATCCTATTATGGACTTACAGTACATCTAATGCTATTGAGACTATAAATTCTCATGATCGCTTAATTCTAATGACGATCTGTAGTAGCGTTTCTCAACTTCGCGTGAGAATAGACCGTAAACACCTCTTCGTAATATCCAAAATTCTTATTGCAAATATTGATGATATTCAAACAAACAATTACATTTAAAATACCTATATAATAGTAAAAATTTCAAAATACATATATTCAAAATGTAACAGTAAACTTATATAATAATAAAAATTTAAAATTCCTAATATAATATTTTAAAAAATAGTAAAATATATAGTAAATAATAGTAATATAGTAATAAATACATTCAGAATATTATTATTGCATAGTAAATATAATATTCAGTTACTGCTAACAATCATTGTCTAAAAGCAACGTTCTACGAATTAGAAACCCAGAGGGAAATACCAATATATTCCCAAGTACAGTTCTACTTTTGTATTCGATTATTGCTGAAAAGAATCGTTGATTAAAAATAATTCCAAGAGAATTACGTTCGTGCATACTTCGAACTCTGACAGCTCGCCAAGTATCGATTCCACTTTTTCATCTCTCGTCGAATAATAATCCGGCTCATAAACACCTCTTTCTCTCTGTCTGTCTGTCTGTCTGTCTGTCTTAACAAACGGCACACGGTGCAAACTCTGCCCTTGTATCCGTCCAAAGATCCGGTATCCACGGACAAATAACCGTCTTCGAGGAAGTTCGTTATTAAGCAGAGGTTTTTTTACGCTCCGCTTGAGAATTTCGCACGCGAGAGCGAGCGGAAGCGGAGCTCAGCCCGGGGCCTGGTAATTCTAGCCGTGACTCGCAACAACGTCAACTTCAGCCGGCTGGCTCGTTCGTTACGCCAATGGAAATACATCACCGATGGTGTCACGTTGAATTATTAAAGTAATATGGTAACGACGCCCACGGTTCACACGATCCTCCACCGGTTCAGCAGATATCCCGGTATACTTTGTAACCGTGAAGAAGCGTCGCGCCTCGGCAGCCGCCGCCATCCTCTGCAGCCCGTCCTTCCCAACGACAGTTGATATTCCCCAGACGGGGGCCACTGGAAACAGGAAACACGCTCCTTTGGAAAAATTATCGCTCGTCCGCTTCTTAACGCCGCTGGAATATCGTAATTCCCGGCCGCCAGGTATCAAGTGAATGAAAAATTTACGTAAACGTAAGATACGCAGATACGTGAAAGGTCGTAGGTTTTTTTCAATTACGAGTTATTTCTATAGGGGAGGTGAGGAAGGAGGGGGCAAGGTAAATTAATCTTTTAGAAATAAAAAAATCTAGAGGTAAATTTACCTTTTTTTTTTTGTCTCTTGGAGGAATAAATTAAATTTCGATAGAACGACGTGACTTCTGATGAAAAGTGAGGTTGACAGCTTGATTTATAAAACAGCATCTGGCTTGCATTTGTAATTTCTGCGATTTCTTTTTATAGTTTTGATATTTTAGGTAGAATAAATTTGATGATAAATCAAATTTCTTGGAGATTGAAATTAAATTATACGAGCAAATTCTTCTTCGTTCGAGGGTAAATGAAATTTTTAGAATAATTTGATACACTTGACGAGAATCGAATTTGATATTTTACTTGAGTTATAATGTATGAATTTTGGTATTAATTTTTAGTTCGTTCAAGCTTTCGTTAGCTCGTCAACGATTCAATTTATATTTCGTTATTATTTTAACTTGTTAAAGAAATTTCAAACTCAACGTTATTTTTATGTACTTATCATTAATTTGTTCGTCATTTGAACTCTTAAATTTACAGCAATATTTACATTTTTATAGACAAAATACTTCGTCTACGAAAATATATGTAAAACTATTCGTAATTAACAGACTAGTAGGTTTTTGTACGTTCGTATAAAATTTCAATATCCAATAATACACAATGTGTGCGTAATATTCAATATATATACCACGCATTGTAGCAAATCGCTAGTGTAATCTTTTAAATTACACAAAGATTTGAATTTAAGTAAAACTCCACAATCATTAGCAGGCAATGGTGATCCAAGAACGATTAGATCAACCCTTGAAATTTTGTTTTACACGTCGACAAATATCCATCGCCGTAATATGAAGATCCTTGAACTTTTAGCGCATTTTCTACCTTCGGGAGATCTCGGTCACAGCATGGAGGGCTTAGCGATGAAGGAAAGAAAATGGGGTAGATTCTAAGCCTTCTTATACTTACCTCCCCTACTCGTCGTATTCTGTGAAAGTTTCGAAGATCCACCAAGGATACAGCATACAAGCCAACCAGTATATTGGATTAAGCGAGCGATAAGAAGGAAACGATATTGCATAGGGTGTCCAAAGCTTCGCAAAGGGAAACATCACGGATCGAATGGATCGAGAATGTACGCGCGAACGATTCCACGAGCGAATTCGTGCTCTCGAGGCTCGCTTTATCTCGCTTGAACTCGATTCTCGAGCTCGTAACGTTCGTCGATAATTGCATTATCTAAAGATTTATCGCGTCAACTCTCAATTGGTATCGGTTGGACAACCGTAGTGGTTTAAGATTAAGGAAGGACAACTGATCAATTTTTCAGTTTTTGAGAAACCACTACGATAGAAAATACGATTGTGGAGAATTTTGCGAGTGTCAGTCTTCAAAATTTCGAATAAGACAGAAAACATTTTTTTTTTGTAAATTCTTTCCTTTTTTCCTCATTGGATAATTCTACGAGAGAGACAAGGTAAAAAAAAAAGAGGACGAAATGATTACGAAATTCTATTAAATCCCAATTTTCCGAGTAACGTCGTAATCTATAAAATATCGTGTTAAAGGAAACGCGAACATATTGCCGTCTAACATGGTATAGTAGAAAACTTCGTTAATCTTTTCCTCGGTTTTTTTCTCCTCCCTCCCCCCTCTTTTGAAATAAAATTTCCTTTCAAAGCATCTACAAGGCGAAAGATCTCCTCGATGAAGGCGTAGAAATTACGTTTAAGCAGCATGCAAAGATACTTCGCCGTAAATATTTGCGATACACGGAAGAAAGTAATATGATTACTTTCGCTCGTAATGTGAAATATTATTTTGCTCGATTTTTTTGTAATTAGCGAACAGGTGTTTGTACTATATTTCATAGAAAATTTAGGAGATACAGTAATGTATAAGACACGTGAAAAACGTGAAAATATGCGTGGCTGAAATGTTTAATCGTTCGAGTTTCTCGCGGATAGGTATGCATTTCCATAAACTAGGATTCCGTTTCAATTCTCCAGCATTCGTTATTTGACAGAGTAACAGAGTATTTAAGCAAACGCTGACGTTATTTACGGCTGGATTTGAAATAATTATCCTAGTTGGCATTATGTTGTTACGTAATCCCTATGATGTTCCTCATACTAATCTCCATGTTACCATTCCGCGAACACTCTACGATTATGCTAAGCCTTTCCTGTGCACTTCCGCGAACCGTGTTTGATTATTAGAAGCAAAGCTCCTTACGAAACGTACACGACATGCGACACCGTTGAAACGAATGGGTATTAAATATTTTGATCTTAATATTTTGATTTTCAGATTTTAGGGTATTTTAATATTCTGATTTTCAGTTGGTTTAACATTTACCGAAAATGAATTTTACACAAAATATATATTATATGTTCAATATAATTGCGGCATTAAAAATATCGAAACTTCATTCACCGAAGGTTCTTAATTTGATTTTACTTCAAATGGAATAGAAATGTTAAATAATAATGTATATATTGATAAAAATATGAAAAATTTACTTTTATTTACTTGTATGCCTTGTATGTACGTAATCAGACGTCACTGAAAATGGTGATCACCATCTTTAAAGACTCAGAAAGCCAAGAAAAATGACTGAGCATGACGTTTAAATATCTCCGGTTGGGAATTTTTTTAATAACCTAAGTAATGAAGCTGGTATTCAAGTGACGATGATAAATGGTTTTCCCTATAAAGTACGTATAACTTTCAACGAGTTTACTTGCATTACGAGTTTCCATTTTTCGCGCAAAATTTCCTCGGTGAAATGTTGAACGTTGAGCATCATACGAATTCATTTGTTGGAACAACATTTGTTAAGTCCTTAATTAGATTTCTGTATCGATACATTTTCACCGCCGGAAAATCACATTTTCTGCTTATGCTTGATATCTTTAAAAATGATGCAGAACAATAAACGAATAAATTAAAATCAACGAACTGCGCGAACAGTGCGTGAATATTTACATTCATCAGCTTTTAATATATTGCTTCATGATACTTTCACTTTATTCGAGTCAACAATTACAAGTTACTGTATCATAAAGTTGCATATAGCAATATAACGGATTACGAAAATATTGGAATTAATACTATTATCTTTTACAAATACAGTTTGATCGTGAAGGGAGTATTTCACCATTGTTAAAATAAAATGACTGCCGATAAAATTTTCCATCGAAGATATACCGTCGTCTTGATGAAACTTTCATACATGCGTCCACGTTTGTTTGTTTTAGGTGGCATGGGTGCGCGTCGATACACAGACAATCTTGTCCATCCACCATAACGTGATCACGCAAAATCCACGGATCTCGTTGTCATACAACGACCACCGTACGTGGTATCTTCATATAAAGAAGGTCGAAGAAGTTGATCGAGGATGGTACATGTGTCAAGTGAATACTGATCCGATGAGAAGTCGACAGGGCTATCTGGAGGTTGTAGGTAAGTTCGTTACTGTAGCATGACGTTGCTAGAATTCGTAAGATCCTCGTATGGTTCTATTGATTAAAAAAAAAAATTCTATTCTGAAGTGACTCTCTAGGATAAAGAATAATATTCTTTGGCAAAAAGCGTGTTTGAAGTTTGTCACTCGAAGAGTGGAAATGCTTTGCTATTACTGAAGTACTATTCACTAACGAAAATATAAAAAATTTTCAAGTTTACGTTATTGCATTTTATTAAATTTAATTTTAAATATTTCATTATATACTTTATTAAACGAAATTACTTAGTTTATTATTATTTTATTATTACGTTATATTTTATTTTATCACTTTTATTTTCGGCATCAAGAATAGTTTATTTAAAAGTCTTTTCATTGCTAGAGGAGTGTAGGTACGTTTTTTTGATAAAAAGAAAATGCCGCGAAGAATGATTCGTCAGAAGCGAAACGTTTAAACGCTGTGAAAGCAATTAGGAACACAGCATTAGTCAGCTCGATCCAGTTAGTCTTTGAAGCAATTAGGTTTCCAGTTAGTTGTTAAACTAGGTTGGAAGTCATCAGGTTTCCGATATTCAATCAACAACTCAAGTACTTAATCTCCTATAAGATTAGCTAGAAATTAGCCTCAAGTTACACTTCCAGGGCATCGACAATGCTGTCTGTCGCTTTATCGCAAAAAATATCGTTTGGAATGAACTTCCTTCTAATTTTGAAGATGAATTTCATTACATCGTACAGCTACACATTTCTCAAGTTGAAATTAAATTCACGAAATTTTTCTACAGCACGAAATTGTCACTTTAAATAATCGTAATAATAACAGAGAATATAAATGCAGAATTTCCCCTCTCCTTTCGCAAACATGCAACCGTGGTTTTCGTCACGTTTCGAATCACCGCTGTTGAATTGTCGAAAAAAAAGAGTTTTAGATGATTACTAGCGCGGAATAAACTTTCACTGGAAAAATTTTCCATCGCGTATTTTCCTGTAAAAAAAAAAAAAAAAAAAAAAAAAAAACATGGTTCGAACTTTTTCTATTTTCCGCTGCAAATACACGCCATTTTCATCGAATAATAAAAAGAGCAACTCGCTCTTCGTAATTAGTATACTATCGACGACAAACCGAGATTTTTATGAAAAAAAGAAGGCGAATAAAATAAAAGCCAAATTTTGTGAAAAGTTTGCTCTTCGAACCACGTCAGTTTTTTATATTACAGAAAAGTACTGTCACTTGAAAAAGCTTCGGAATAATGAAACTTTTCTGTAATGAAACTAAATATTTCAATGGATTTATTCGTGCCTCATTAAAAATTTCCCGGAAGCTCGAGAAATGTCGAAAAAGAAATTTCATTAAATTAAAATACTGATCAAGTATCCACGGTATATTATTATATTATTTGTAGAATAAAATTGAATATTATTTACAGAATAAAATCGTTATTTATTCAATTTTCACACTTTTTTTTTTCATTGCAGTCATTTCTTTCTAATTTCATTCAAAAATGATTATTCATTCGATTTTCACACGTTTCCCTGTTCTTTTTTTTTTTTTCATTGCTTTTCAGTGCCACCTTCTATTATCACAAAGGAAACCAGCACGGACATGGTCGTCCGCGAAGGCTCGAACGTGACATTGACGTGTAAAGCTTCAGGATATCCGGAACCTTACATCATGTGGCGCAGAGAGGACGGAAAGAACATAAACTACAACGGTGATAGCGGTGAGTTTCGATGCCTACTCTCTGAATTTCATTGCACTATAAATTTGATAATCACGCTCTTTGAGAAGTAAGAGTGGTTTGATCAATTGCAAAATAGCTTCATTAAACTCGGTGGCGTAAAGCCTACATATTTCATGTAGAATCAACGGTGAAAACAATTGGTAAGAATTCTATATGTTGCTAAAACATGGTGGATTAATTATATTTGTGAAAACTGAGCGTAAAAGTGTTATTATATTACGTCAGGTGGATTTCGCTAATGAATCGATGGAAGCTTTCATTAATTATGTCAGACATGATCATTTAGCCACAGAGGAATTGTTGATTTCACGCCAGGGGGGAAATCATAATTTTCGCGAGATACAACAGCAGATCTAAATTCGATTCACACGATGTGTTCAGTAAATTGATGATAAATAACTTAATATTTCATAAAATTAGGTTCAAATTGCCAATCGTCTTTCGTCTATGGGATATTACTTTCGACACTCTTTGATAGACATTCACGCAACGTTTAAGAATATTAATATTCTAATATTCATTCAGCATTTAATATCTATGCTATGTACAATTTTCGTGATAATTATTCCCTATATTTAATAGTCTCAAACTAACGATAATATAAAATTTTTATTAACGTCACAAACACCTGATCTGTTATAAGTCTTCCGTTTGGAGAAACAATTAAATTTTTAAGGATTTTGAAAAAAATCAGCGAAAGTTTCGAGTATCTGTTAAAACGATTGGTTAATTTAGAATCGTTGCTAAAATAAAAAGTAGCGGAGAATCCAATAAATAATTTATGAAGAATATTTCTGCGTGAAATTCATCGCGTGGGGAAAAAGAGATTGAACAACGTCGATTAGAGTATTCGATTGCGGATTAATGATTAATGATCGCCGGAGTATCGGCTGACAACGTAATTATTCATGAATACAGTATGTCTGGCTGGTATTGTGAAACTCTCTTGTGTGAAATGTATTCAAGAGTTGAATCGTCGTTTCCGGATAGTTCTCAGTTCGACAATCGATAGACCGAACGGATACAGGGGACGCCGTTTCACACACGATATCGCTTTTTCGGATGTTACACAAAAAGCAAACGACTAAAACGATCCTTCTTTCCTGTGTCAAACTTGCGCCGAGTTCATATTCACTCCGCTTGCATTCAGTTCCGACATTTGGCCACCTATTTCGCTAAGTTCTTGATTCACTTCTCTCGCGGGATACGTGCGCGCGTCAAAATGAACGAAACATACCTCTCGTGACTCCGATATATTGTTGGAAGAGAAATCTTTCTTTTAGTTAAACTCTCCGTAATTGGACTTATTAAATCGAGATTCTTCTCAATTACTTGTGAGAACTGTATGAAATTTCCGTTCACGTTACGTTACACAAAACTTTTAGATATTTAATTAATTTTATCTTATTTCGTGGAATTACATTTTTTTCTGAGTGAAAATACTATTAACAGTATGCAAGGAGAAATCTGATTAAATTATTCGGTTCCGATTTGGAAATATTTGAAAATTCCACGCTTATATATTCCGGCAGAGTTTAATGAAATAAAATTGACACCGTGCAGGAAAAGATTAATTTGGATTTTATTAAGTCGATTGTAATAATGAAATTAGCGTAACTGTAGGGCAAGGATTTTCATAATTGAGTAAAAATAAGACAAAATATTTTATTCGGATTTTATTCTGTTATAAATCAAAATTAATATCCTTTGTGTATTTTACTAATTATTCCCTCGTAGTTCCCTTTTATCGAAATATCGGCAACGTATCACGAAATAATTTGTTTCAACTGCGTGGGAAACGATGAATACATAGTAACGGGACGATTTGGATAGCATGTTTTGAAAATCAATACGGATTGAAGACGAAAAACCGTTGCGTACACATCTACGTTTTGCGTGGTACGTTCGAAATGACCGCAATATTTCATAAAGTATTATTAAAAATATTTGATGACTTTAATTCCAGCAGAATGGAGCACCGATTGCATATAAAACGATTCATTTCATAAAAATTGTTCTCTAAAGAAATTTACAAAACTACGCAAAACATTAACTTTATGAAAAAAGAAGAAGAGAAATATCGCGGGGATAATAAATATTTGAGGAACGAATTCATTATGACGCGATCCTGAATAATCTAAAGTGAGCGTAGAATAATTAAAAAACAGAGTATATTAATGAGTTTCCATATTGTTCGATGAAAATTGCATTTTGCAGTTATCAATTTTATATTTTGTCAGTAATGAATTCCTGGCAAACGTGAAATTCACAGTCAAAAGTTAATCTTCGTGCTTGCGCGACTTAATTATGAAAAATCTCCTTGTTCATTGTCAAATCTTTTACCAATTATTAATAAATACATCGCATGAAATAATCACGATAATTTCTACTTTGCATTTCTACTAACATTTATGCTGAGAAAAGAAAATTGTTTGCGATAGGGTTAAATGATCCTAGTATAATTGAAATATTTTGCAAATTTGTAAGAATTGATCAATACCTACTTGAAATAACAAAATTTGCGTGAAAAATTCTCGTTCTAATTGTGAAATATTGAACAATTAAATATATATGTATGTATTCATGAAATTGTAAGCTTTGAACTTGCACTTGTATCTGATATCACGTTTTTGCGCAATTATCTCCAAATCATTATACTGCTTGGAATGTTAGATTATTTTGAAGAACCTGTTTGACATATCACGCTTTGGGAGTTACAATTAGGAAACCTTGCGTTACGGATTTCAATTGAAATTTGTGCTGCGTCAGGCGAACAGGCTGTTCCGGAATTTCACTGGCTAAATTGGTTTTAGAAATTCCGGTTTCCAAATGTAATTTCCGATTTCCTGTTATTAATGTAAATTTAACACGGACACGTTGAGAGTTCTCGTTTGGAGAAAAATAATGGAAATCGTTTTAATCAACATCAAGTTTCCAAAGAGTCGATCGATACTTTGATGGAAGGAAACGGAGATTACAAAAGATAAAGATAGGCGTGTCGAAATAATCGATTTTGACACATTGTATATCTCACTTGTTATATCATTACATTTTTGTTGTTATATTTTTGTACACATAAAAATTGCACTGTTTATGGATTTTTCAATTTCGTTACTTTGGCATATAGCTGTTACTTAATGTTCCGAAGAACATATGATTCATTTCCATGAATTTATTTGTTGCAAGAAGGTCTAAGTTCTAATATAAATTTCAAAAAATAATTTTCGAAAATAAACAGCAATTATGATAATAATAATTTGAAATTTTCAGATTGTAGGTTTTTATGAATTTATGAAAAATTTGAAGACATAAAAATGCATATGCGGTGTAGGTATCTCCTGGCTGACTTATGTCTGTTTGTATCACTTAAAAATTTAAATCTCGACTCGTATAAATATGGCCCAATTTCTTCATTACATTTTTATATCATTGTTGTCTAATTTTATAATTATGGCAAAATATGTAATGAAACCACCTTAGAAATATCGTACGAATGACAAAAATTCTTTACAACTTGTATATTTCTGAACGTACCACGCGCGTCGTGATTTGTGAATTTCACACTTTTACAAAAACACCAGTTCAACGAATTAGCATTTCGCGCGCCTCGCCGAAAGTTCTCCGTTCCGAAATCCAGAATCCAGCGCAGTCGGTCTTTGCTGTCGATAAGTCAAAAGCTCGGGGCGCGCCATTTCGTGGCCACAATCAATAAAATCCAACGAATCGATAACGCAACGTGACCTAACGCCAACAGAAGTTCATCCCTCGAAGGGATATTCCTCGCAGAAGGATACGTTTGATCGTCGACCATCCTAAATAATCGATCGTTCTCTTGTCGTTGGCGCGCTTCTGAAAATAGCCACACGACCTCCACGGCGCAGGTCGTCTCGATCGATGCTAATTACTTTCTTAATTAGTAATTATGAAGAGCGTGAGAAGCGCGACACCGCTTCGACTCTTTCTCTCTCTCTCTCTCTCTCTCTCTCTCTGTTCTTCTCTCTATCCTTTCCACTTCTCATCCTTGTTCCCAGACTCGTTTGCACGAATACACAGAGAGAAAAAGAGAATGAAAGAGAGAGAGAGAGAAGTGGGCAAAGATGTACAGGATAGCAGGACGTCAGACAGTCTGTCGGTTCCAAAGGATTTTCTCAATATCGGATAAAGGCCGGATTTAATTTCTGCTCTAATTTAAATTTTCATTGCCCTCGAGGCATACTCCGGGGTTCAGACGCTCAGACGAGACTTTCGAAGCTTACGCCTCGCCCTAACTCCACCGTATAAACTGTCACTGATAAATATGTATGCGTCGAATCGTTTGCGGCCCCCGGATAAAAATGCTCCGTTGCATTATATCATCGCCTGTTCAACGGCCATTACCGATCCACGCTGGGATTAATGTAATTCGAAAAGGGGAACGAGCAACTGTTGTTGCAAATTCTCTTTCGTCGTTTACATTCGTGACTGGAAGAATGGAGTTTCGATTGGAAGCTTCGTTCCGTTCTGTTTGTTGTGTCTGGGATGGTGTGTTGTGGCTTGGAAAATGTTCTTGGAAAGAATCATGAACAAGCCGGTTGATGAAAATGTTTCTATGTTTCATTCATTTATTTTCTCCTTTGTTATTATTATGTTGGTCGCGTTGAAGGTTTGTATAAATCATTAGTAGACTATTTTTATGAATATGTGGAAAATGTCAATATTTCAAAAAGTCACACTGAATATCAGTGAATGATCTAATGAATATATAGTACATTTATATATTTTGTGCATTTTTGCATCTAAAAATTTTCCATAAACATCACAGTTTACATCAGGAGAATATACTTTAGGACAATTCAAAGCTAGGTAGAATCATATAATTCAGGGTATTTTAAATCATTTAATAGTTGCTTATCGATTTATCATTTTTTTAAATTGCCTCTTCTGATTAATTTCGAACCAGTTTACGTTTCATATCAATTATTTATCAAAAGAATATATTG